TTTAAATTAAATAACTGACAATTACCAATGTATTAACCCAAATCTTGAATGGATAATAACCCTATCGGAGTAGTCAGCAACCATTTCAGTTTGACCCATTAGTATTATCGCCCATCTACTATATGCTACTTATCTATTTTACTTTAAACTGTTGATTTCACTTTACCTGCAAAAAAATAGCGCTGGTGTCAAGTAGATTGTCAGGTAAATGGGCATTGTTCATCAATCTAGTGATGCATTGCGAGATTAGTGTTTTTAAGGGTTTTCTGACACGGGCTTTCCATTAAATCCACTTTCATTTTGAGGTGCCCGTACCAGCTGGGTTACTTCCCTTGTCAGTTTAATCTAGTGAAACGTAATCTTTAGCATTCGATTATTCCCAAAAAGTAAATGGATAAAAAATGTATGGAAACAGCTTGACGAGAATTTCAGATAAATTCACAGTCGAATTCTGAAAAAGTCAAATTTGAACTCAAAATCAACATTTGAATAGTATCGATTTTGATCATTTTAATCCGTTCCCACACTAAATATTATCAAGACTAAAATGGCTCTTCCGTTAATACACGTTGCTGCATCTTTAATTGAACCAGTAAAACGCATCGTTAACAGTAAAATCTTGAGACTAAACACTTAAGATTTTGTGCGTTGATTAAATAACTTTTGTCTTGATCTATTGCCCACACATGAAACTAGATAATGAACATGGAATGAAAAGAAAAAGAAAATCACAAAAAGAGAAACTGAACATTTTGAAGAGGAAATGGTTTCATTTTTTCTTCACTGAAACTTGAACAGTTAAAATGGATATGAAAAATGTGTTGAACAATTTAACCCGATTTCACCTCACCTTGAAGCCTGGAAAGTTGAAATGGGATTAGCGATGATCTATTATTCTGGATTTCAAGTGTCAACTTTTCATGGCTACTTTTTCACTACTTCATTCATATCATTAATAACTACTTTCTTCCTCTCAAACAAGCCAGAAATAAAAATCTTTATTCTTTTCCTTTAAACAACAACTTGAACTTTACAAAATGTAAGAAAAGGCAGCAAACAAAAAAAAGAGTCTTTTTAATGTTCATTTTCATTGTTCCAATAGACTTGAATGTTATCATGTTACAGAGCAAACAAAAGAGAATCAAAATAATATCAAAACTGAAAATGTTGATAACAATTTAAACATTTTTCTTCTCCACTCAAACTTGCCAAAGTTTCAACTACAATTCATCATTATCTCAACCATATAAACCAGGAAAAGATTTTCTTAATGGTTTTCATCTTTGAAACATTCCTTCAGCCTTTGCTTTATCCTTCATCATCAAGAGTCAAAGCAACAACAAAAAAAGTTAAACTTATTCTTGCTTTAAAATTATTTAGCAAGTTTAACCTCAACTTGGATCCAGTCAAAGGTTGTCAAGAGTCACATTCTGAATCTCATTTTTTCACCTTCTAATGATAGACATTTTCATCATCATTATTCAATCCAATGACAATCAATTACTTTTGACATCATTATTTGGATCATTTTGTCATTGAGCTATTACCTGGAAACTTTTCATTTCCATTTTTCTTCGCCTCTGCTTCCGATTCTTTGCTTTTTGTTTTTCTCAATCAACACTTGATTCCACTTTTATTAACACTTCTCATTACAATTTATAATTAGTGTTTTATCAATGATTGAGATCATTGTGCTAATCAATTCAAGTTTGAAATAACATTTTCTGTGAATCGTAATAATCAAATTAACCATGTTAACCAATTCTTGTTCAATAATTTGGTCCAAACTTTTTATTCAATAAGAAGATAAAACCAGAGAATCTCATGAATATATATTGAATAACAAGTTTCAAGGCAACATCGATACTGTAATTTTCATCGTTGCACCAACAAATGACTTGAATTGAGAGCAACACTTTATCCTTCATTCCCGATTTAAGTGTTGCTAAATCAAATAATAGACGCAGATTCAGATTATTCTTGATATTCAAACAATCTTACCATGAAACTTTTTAATTTAGTTTACTATAATTTTCGTTAAAGTTCAAATATTTTATCTACTACAATTCATCATATCTTTGAAAGAGTTATAGTAAATTGAATTATATTGTAGCTCATACAGATTGAGCTTGTATGAAACATTTGCGTTGAAATTGATTTACAAAATTTACTTCTACTCAACTATAGTTGTTGATTCTTCGTTTGACCTCTCTTACACTCGCTATCTGCAATAAATTTTTTAGAGAAGCATGATCGGTGTAAAGTACGTGTGCCTTTAATCATGCTGTCGTGTGGGTTCATCAATGTACCCAACTTCAACGAAGGACTAAACCTCAAGCACTGAGCATTTTATCTTCATCTTCGTCTCTGCTAATGACTCGAGAATCAGTAGTCAGATGCTGAAAATATTCCTTCAGTAGCCTCCCCAAAACATAGAACTATAAATCTAGAGTTTCAAAATAATTTGTTGCCACACGAAGGGACCAGAAGGAAATATTAAACATAGCCTCATAGTAACGATGAAAGTAGGCATGAAATGTCCCATTCTGAGCCAACGCTGGTAATACCGTAATACAGTATAAGTTTTTTGATTTTGAAATAAAACTTTTGTTATTGGAAAGTAACCTTGTAATTTAAAAAAAATTATGTAAATTAACCTATGTTAGTCCATTTCAGTCCATCATCTCCATCCTAAATATCCCTGTACCTTTGTTTCAGTCCATCA